GATGATGGAGATGATGGAGATGATGATGATGATGATGATGATGATGATGATGATGATGATGATGATGATGATGATGATGATGATGATGATGATGATGGTGATGATTGAGGAGGAGGAGGACATGGTGGTGGTGGTGGTGGTGGTGGTGGCGATGATGATAATGGAGACAACTATGATGACGATGCGGTGATGAAGCAAGGATAGAGATGGCAACAACGGATTGAATTTTTATTCAATACCGTCCCGTATCGTTTCGGTTTCTGCTCCACCTAAACTCCTTGCTAGGGTACTGGCAACGCGAAGTCTTACACTCTTGGCCAATATGCATCATTCTTGCTCAACAAGAAGCACAACGAGACAGCCGCGAGAAAAGTGAGGGATCGTCATGATTGAGCTCTGAGAACGTCATCATGATTGTTTGAGTTTATTCGACTTAGTCGAGAGTTTCGTAGCTAAGAACCATTGCTCTCTACTCATTTCTCTCCTAGTTTTCTGTCTGAAGGGATAATCCTGGAAAACTCACACTGATTACACTCTTTAGGTGTTTGTTGATGCGCTGCTGAGACCGAATTTGAGCGACAGTGACACATACGACATCCTTCTAGAAGAAGCGAGGTAATCTGATATTCAGAACAATTAACAACATCATCATCATCATCATCGTCGTCATCATCGTCATCGTCGTCGTCATCATCATCATCATCGTCATCATCGTCATCATCATCATCATCATCATCATCCTCAATTGAAAACATTCTCATATGTCGTTAACATCACATTTCTCCTCACGTTTACCCTGTTATGTTCTATCTGTACTTTAAGATCACCTTCCTTCAGGTTTCTTGTCGACGAGCTCGAAGATCTTGAAAAAGCCTCCGAAAAATGCAGGGAAGCGATTAAGCTCAACACCAAGGTGAGGACAGAGGAAGGAGAGGAGGAGGAGGAGAAAGGAGGAAAAAGAAAGGAAATGGAAAAGGGAGAGGAAGAGAGGATGGGGGAAAAGAGAGCAGAGGAGAAGAGGAGAGGAGGAGGAGGAGAGGAGGAGGGGATAATGGGAGGAGGAGGATAAGAGGAGGAGACGAGGAGGAGAGAAGAGAAGGAGGGGATACTGGGAGGAGGAGGATAAGAGGAGGAGGGGAGGAGGGGATAATGGGAGGAGGAGGAGGAGAGGAGGAGGAGAGGAGGAGAGGAGAAGAGGAGGAGGGGAGAAGAGGAGGAGGATAAGAGGGGAGCAGAGGTGAGAGGAGAGGATGCAGGACTCTAGGGCCATCTTGACCTACGCGGAGCTGCTGTGGAAGCATCACAAGGACGAGAAGCTGGCGGACAGATACTTCAGAGAAGCCATCAAGCTTGAGCCCAACAGCTACGAACCTTTCCTTGCATACGCTCGCTTCCTTCAGGTCTCTCTTTCTTCTTCCTCCTCCCCTCCTCATTCTTCTACTGCTGTATCTCCTTCTCTTTCTCTACTCCTCTGTGTCTTTCTCTTATGATTCATGTGAACTCTCTTCACTCAAGTTGCTCCCCTCCTGTCCGACTCTCATTTCGCACTTTCTCACCTCCTCCTTCTCCTCCTCCTCCTCCTGAATGATCGAGCAGGAGAAGCCAGACAAGCTCGCAATAGCCGAGCACTACCTTCGCCGTGCCGTGCAGCTTGAGGACTCGGCAGGAGACGCGCAGCTGGAGCTGGCGAGGTTTGTGAGGAAGCACCACAAAGACGTCAAGAAGGCGATCGAGCTGTACAAGAAGGCGGCAGACCGGCTAGGGGACGACACCAACTTGTTCCACGAGTTTGCTGAGTTCCTGGTGGAGGACTGCCAGGGCTTCAGAGAGCTCGACAAGGACGGTTACAACACCAACCTAAGGTCAGAACTCTCCGTCTGCCTCCTCGCGCTGAAAGTTTGCGGTCAGTTTAGCTGAGGAGCAGCTGACCAAGGCAGTACAGGCTGAGCCCAACGACCCTTCTCACCTCGTCACCCTCGCTCAGTTCCTGGCACAGGAGAAGAACCGAGTGGAGGATGCCAGGAAGGTGTTCCAGCAGGCCCTGACGATGAAGCAAGACGACAGTGATACGCTCATGGCATTCGCCATGTTCCTCGAGGAGTACGTGAGCGACTATGACGGTGCTGAGCAGCTCTACCTCCGAGCCGTCCGAGCAGCCCCGAAGCAGGCAGACGTGCTCTATAACTTCGCTGTTTTCCTAGAAGAGAAGAAGAAGGATAAGCCGCAGGTCAGCCGCTCTCACTCCTCCTCCTCCTCCTCCTCCTCCTCCTCTTTCTCCTCCGCGGTCTCCTCTTGACCCCTGGCAGGCGGACGACTACTACCAGCGCGCGCTTGAAGCCTCGCCGGACGACGAGGAGATGAACAGGCGATACGCGAGCTTTCTAGAGAAGAAGATGAAAAACAAGCGACTGGCGGAGAAGTACAGGCTCGCTGCTCGAGGCGTCAGAGCGGCAAAGCCACAGGAGAACGAGAGGCGAGGTAAGGAAGATGTGCTTACAGTTACATGCGGGAGAGTTCATGAGCTGAGCTTTCGATCTTGTTGTATTGTTGTCTCACAGTCAACAAGAAGGAAAGATTGTCCATGCCTGATGGCCGATCCCCTCAGAGTTGTGTTTGTAGTTAAGCTGCTTCTCCTCGAGAAGCGCTTAGCTGCATTCTGCTCAACATAAATCATCACACCTGAATGGCTTCAAGATGGTTCCGACACCTTGTCATCTCGTGTTGCTCTTCTCTTGCTTGTCTTACGATCTGTTGCTTCCTGTCTCCCCTGTCACGTCGATCGTGTTGACAGCAGATGTTTGAGTTTGAAACCTCGATGAGCAGGAAAGGAAGAAACAAGCAGGACCGCATTACCACAGGTTTCAATTTCATAGTCAAACAACACAATCCACATGATCATCGAAATATCCCCAACGGCCTCCTCCTCCTCCTCCTCCTCCTCCTCCTCCTCCTCCTCTCCTCCTCCTCCTCCTCTCAGTCCTCCTCCTCCTCCTTCTCCTCCTCCTTCTCCTCCTCCTCTCAGTCCTCTTCCTGCTCCTTTCTCCTGCTCCTTTCTCCTCCTGATCGTCATTTGATACTGGTTGTTTTTTGGCTGAAATTGTTGGAAGGAGGAGGAGAGCTCGGAGAGTGAAGAGGAGGAAGAAAGGAAAGATGTCAAAAAGAAAGACAAGAAGCGAAGATTGAAAAGTTTGATCAAGGTGACTGCGCGGAAAACGGCAGAGGAAATTTCTTGATGATTTCTTGCAACAGGTTGCAAAAAGTGGGGGCAAAAACTCAACGATGACGCAGAAATCTCAGAAAGATGAGGATGGAAAAGGCTGCAGTTTAATGTGAGAACCTATCATAGATATACAACATGTATTTTGTTCAGAGATGTTATGTTTAGAATACTGTTATGTAACGTTCCAAAAGATGCTTTTCAAAGATGTTGGTGCTTCATTTCTCAAAGATGATTTCTTTGGACAAGAACTTTCGATTCATCCTCTTTGCGTTGCTGCAATATGAAATGAGAATCCTTGCAAAATCAGCAAGCTTCTCACCTTGCAAACGTGGTGCTTGACACTTTCTCACTTGAACCTGTGTTCTCTGAATGAACGGTGCCAAAGTCTTGTAAGTCGTCGATCATATCTTCATCATCGTTGGCATATCCAGACACGTTATTGATTTCTTTGACATCTTCATCGTTTCTCGTCACAAACTTCACATCTTTCCGGAAAAGTCGATCTCGACGAGGAGGGACGGTGGGGCTTTCACCGTTCTTGGACATGAAGGCAACTGTGATCTCATCAACTTGGAAGTAAATTGTAAATTTTCACCTTGTAAAGTTTTACCTCCGTTCAATAAAAGCTCCTGCTCGCCTGTTGAGCTCTCCAACTTCTTATGGAGATGTAGAGCAGGAAGTCCAATCAAGTTGTGCGTCTGCAACATTTTCACTACCCGGTATGATTTGATTTCCTTTCAATCATCTCACCTTGCTCTTGATCTCGACATCTGCATCCTTTTCTTCCTCTTGCTCAAACGAGTTGCGATGAGACATTTCTGAGATCAGAACCGTGGAAGACAACTCGCTCTCATCATCTGATTTCTCCGCTGTTGCAATATGATGGTGATGGTTGTGATGATGATGATGATGATGATAGGGAAGAGGAGGAGCGATTTCGACTGGAACAGGAGGATGAATGCGAGTGGGAGGAGGAAGAGCAGCATGCAGAGCTTCCGAGCGGGTAGTTGCGACTCCTGGAACGTGTCAGGAGGAGGAGACAGGAAGTTGAAGACAGCACCCTGAGGTAGATGTATCGGGTGATAGAGAGCATTTGGGGCTCGCAGTCGCTCTGCGGGCAGACGAGGAGGAGGAGGGAGGAGGGAGAAAGAGAAGCACAGAAGACTCTTGAAGAGGAAGGCAAGGGCAAGCAGCATGAAGCCTTTCTTCGCTCCTCCTGCTCGACCATTACTCTCCTCCTACTCCTCCTCGCCCTCTTACACCTGAGCATAAGACGATCCCACCTATCAGGTGGAGGGGACACGCGAAAAGAAGGCCGCTGGTAGCGCAGACTCGTCGAGCAATCACCATACTTCTCCTCTCCCCAGCAAAGTTCCAGCTGACTGCATGCATATGGTAAGCCAACTCCTGGCAGGGAGGGAAAAGAGGAGGATGATAAGAGCAACAAAGACTGAGAAAGGGAAGGGGAGGATGTTGGAAGGTGAACGACAGGAAGCGACAAGGATGGGAAGGGTCCCACCAGCCGTGTAGAGGAGGAGCATGAGCGAGAGCTGAGACAGGTAGAAGTCAAACAGCCCGGCCGCGTCTAGGTGCCCTCGACTTCCATCGCAGATCATCTCAGCGGCATCAGCAGCAAGCACCGCGTGGGAGGAAACGTCTTTCAACCTGCTCCCATTTAGCCCAGCAACTCCCCAGCTCCTCCCCGTCACCTCACGCTCAGCCCGGCGGAGGAGAGGAGCAGAACGATGCTGCTGGCCATGCATAGCCGATGAGCATAGTCCATCGCATCTTGCTGCCTGTCAGCCGGGAGGAGCGAGGAGGAGGTTCAGACCTGCAAGCATAACAGACGCCCTGCCGGCTGGCTTGATGTGCCCACTGTTGTAAGAGAGAGGAGAGAGGAGCCTGTGCTTGCTCCGCTGGTGTAGTGACTCGTACAGGAAGGGAAGTAGGAGACCCTGCAGCTGATTGAGCGCCTGCAATGAGGAGAAGAGAAAGACTGATGGGAGGGTAAAGATGAGGGGTACCAAGGCAGCAATCAGGACAAGGACGAGAAAGCGAAGACGAGGACGACGAGGAAGTAGAGGAGGAGGGGAGAGACCAAGGAGAGCAGGAGGAAGCGATGTACCTCGAGGACACGAGGTGCCCATAGAAGGATGGATTCCCCAGTGAAGCCGAAGGACGTGTCAAGTAAACCGGAGCAAGCACAAACAAGCCAGCAAACAGTGAGGAAGACATAGAGGAGGGAGAGCATCTTCAGCCCGAGCCAAGAGAGCGTTAACGAGCCTCCTACAGTATCTGCATCAGCCATGCCAGATCGCATGCCGCCTGCTCTCACCGTGAAATGACCATAAGGAGCCCCAGACGCGATTGGAGGAGAGGTCGAGGGAGGAGAAGCGGACTGATGGAGGAGTGTCGTACATGATCTTCGCTGTCCTTTTCCTTCTCCTCCACGAGTGTTCAGGCGTGCAACATATCAAAGTCTCGTCGATGCTCGTCTGATCATGCCGCAAATTTCACTATGCGTGCGTTTCTTTGTTGACTCGACGAGTACGGCTGGGTCGAAAGCACAACAAGAGCAGGGCTGTGTTGTGCCTTCAACCTGTTCACTTCTGTTGGAGTCTTCAACCTCCTCCTCCTTCACTTGTCCTCTCCCAACTCCTTCGGTGCTCCTCCTGCTCCTCTTGTCCTAGTCACCGTCGTCACGATTGTACGGAGCTACAGCATCGGGCCCATCGGATCAGTTTAAGACCAAGTTTGTACTTTGAAACTTTGAAACTTTGAAACGTTTGAGAGTTCGAGAACTTCGAAACTTTTAGTTCAGAATCATGCTACCTCCGCGCCGCACCCGGGGGCATCCAGGAGGGGTCATTTCATAAGTCACTTGTTGGGGGACAGACGGGTAGGGTACCTTATTGTCACTGGAAGTACCAAAGGGTCATCCCGCTACCCGTTGTGCCCCGAGGGTGGTACGGTAGGTGGGGTGGCGCCCTTGCCTCCGTTCAACTGTATCAACCACTTATCTATAGTTGTAAGAATATCAAAGTGTAGTATTAGTAGAAAGTGGACAAGTGGCTACCCAGCCTCTCGCAGTCAGATATGCCAGTGGTTTTGAGGGGACAGAACTTAGAGGACCGGTACTGGACAAACTTGACGCCGGGGAGTTTGCTTCGGCGATCAGGCGGCGATACGGAGTACAGAAATGCACGTACAGGGTTGAGTCGGAGATGTGGGGAGGAGGAGAATGAGGAGGAGGAGAAGAAGAAGGAGAACAAGGAGGTACGAAGGGAAACTCGGAAAGAAGTGCAGTGGATTTGAGCACTGAAGAGGGGATGGAAGTTGTGTAGGACTTGAGATTGCAGCTGATGAATTCATACGCGTATACCTCCCTCTCATTGTTTTCTTGAACTCGCTCGCATTCCCTCTGACATTTTCTTACTACAGGAAAACAAGGCAAAATGTCCAGTCTGAGTCCAACACTCAACTCAACAGCTAATGGATATTCCACTTGTAAGCTACAACATAGATCTCATTGTCATGTCTTGAATAGTTTACTGTGCTTTTCCTGTCTTTGTTGGTGTTTGGTTTTTGCTGTGATGACTTCTAGCTTCAGACCCAATGGGATTTTCCTACAACTCAGTTCCTGTGACGAGCTCAATCTATCAGACGATTCCGAGTACGATGTCAATTTCCTTCATGTCGCCACTTGACAATCCTATGAAGTCCCGCAATCCATTTCAGTGGCGCAGTTTCAGGAGATCTTATCAAATCTGAAGGTACTTCAGCTTGCCACAACCATTCAACAAGCATTGTAACTCTGGAGGGATCGCTCTTGACAGATCGAGTATTCAAAGGTCAAGGAAGAAGGCGAGACGGTTGAGCCAGCTGCTCATGATGTTTGTCTGACAGTTAGTGACAGTGGAGGACCAAGTATGAAGCCAACCAGAGGGAAATCTTGAGACTGAGGAAGATAGTGGAGGTCAGAACGATATCTGATTGCTTTCACGCTCTTCCCTAGCTGTCCTGCTCATGACAAATACAATCTTGAATCTCTTTCTCCTTTGACCTCTTCAGCCCCTCCTCTATACTTGTAGGCCACCCATCGCCCTCGCCATTCATCCTCTAAACCCTTCTCCCCGCCTTCATTCTCCTCCTCACCCTCCCTCCTGCTTCTAGGTCGAAGGGGACTCGTGCCTTGTCAGCTGCAACTGACCATATGATGATGTTTCATATCTGTAGACTCACAGCACTTGGCAGGAGAGGAACATAAACTCTTCTTCTAAAGTCGGAGTTGGTCTTGTCATCGGAACAGACGACAGGTGACGTGCCGACTCGTGTCCCTCTTGCAAGGAGGTGAAGCTGAGCCTGATCAGGACCCTCATGCCGACAGTGATGAGGGTATATCCCCCCGGATTTCCTCCTCCTCCTCCACCACCACGACCCTGCCTCGATTTAAGAAGCTGCATCTTCCATGACTGCTGAC